TGCTGCTGTCACTACAGGAAGGGCAGTGCTGCTGTCACTACAGGAAGTCACTTCAGGGGACGATTGGTGATTGCGTAGCAGGACCTAACCGCAGCCCTGTGGACCCCACCCTAGGACATTGTACAGAAGTCCTGCTTAACTGTCATTCATGTTGACTCAACTGTTACCGACGCCCCCAAACAAGCCAGGGCCTTACGTCCTGCAGGAGCCTAGAGCCCTTCTCTGCTGGGACTGAAGAAAGCTTCACATGCACAGCAGCCCTGAGGGGTGGGCAGAGCAAGGTAAACAGGGTTGACAAACTGCATCTAGGAAATCCTAGAAGAGCAATGTCATTTGGAAACAGAGTCTTTGGGGCGTGTGAGATGACTCAGTAAGGGTACTTGCCAGCAACTCTCGCTGCTTGAGTTTGATCCCCTGGACCCACAGAAGAGAACACACTCTGCAAGTTTTCCAGCCTTCACATGTAGGCCATGGCGTGTACACACATGCACACAGAGAGAGAGAGAGAGACAGAGAGACAGAGACAGAGAAACAGAGACAAAGAGACAGAGAAAAGAGAGACAGACAGAAAGAAAGACAGAGAGACAGAGAGAGACACAGAGAAACAGAGACAGAAAGACAGACAAAGAGAGACACACACAGAGAGAGAGAGAGAGAGAGAGAGAGAGAGAGAGAGAGAGAGAGAGAGTAATTTTTAAAAGAAAGAAGTTGAGCCTTTGCAGATACAGTTGGCTAGGAAGGCTCTGAGACCCATGTCCTACAGAAGAGGAGGCACAGAGGCAGAGAAAAGCCATGAGAAGATGGAGGGCAGAGACCAGATGCCAAAGAACACCGTGGACTGCCAGCATCCGGCAGGAGCAAGGGGAGCAGCCTGGGATAGTGTCTCCTGCAGAGTCCCAGAGACACTGCTGGCACCTAGTGTCTCACTACATCTAGATCCGTGAGAAAGTAAACTCCTACTATTTAAACATACATACAACATAAAACTATATACACATATACACAGAGAGACAGAAAAGAGGGGACCCATTGTAGGTAAAGGCTACAGAGGACCCTGTATCAAAAGAAAAAAGAACCTCAGTGAAAATCTGATGTATCTGACGTAGAGGTAAGGTTCCTGATTGTGACAGATTTGACATCCGGTGCATGCTCCACCCTGACGTGAGCTGGGTTACTGTGACCCTCCCTCGGTCCAGTCTATTCTGGGCCACCAACAAACCAAGTTTCTTGGCAATACCATTATTTAGCCCCTTCTCAGCCACAGTGACCAATCCTCTACAGAAATTTAGGTGAGAAAGATTCGCCCACACAGAGCCTACCCTGTGAAGGAGTCCCATATAATTATGAGGCAGTCTGGCCCTTTGTCTGCTGTGGCAATCCAGCGCCTGTCTTCACTGACACAGAGGCAGGAGATGATATTAGGGTGGCCCTAGGGATAAGAAGAAGACATTTTTAGAAACAATCAGGACAGGGCCCTACTGTGGCCCTCAAGGAGGGCTGGGTCCACATAGCCCTGAGCTCTTTCCAAAAGCTTGCCTGCCTGGAAAACCACTTTCACCGGCCCTCCCTGAGGTCAGTCTATCACTGGTCGGGTTAGGGGTGGGTTCCCAAGCTTTCTCTTCCTCTGCAAAGCTGAAGGAGCTGCATTCACCAAAGGATTAGGTCCTCCCTAGGGATGGAGTTAAGTGGTCACCTCAACCAGGACCTCTGAACTCCCTGCTGGCCTCGTCCCCCAAACACTACTAACCTCAGATCACTGAACACTGACTCCGCAAGTCACTGGTCTCTGATCCAGTCTCAACATCCCAGTCATCTCCCCACAAAACAAAGGAATCTTCCAGAAACATACTCAAAGAGGACAGCATTCTTGCCCCACCCCTCAAAAAACCGGGTTTCTTTGTGTAGCCCTGGCTGTCCTAGAACTTACTCTGTAGTCCAGGCTAGCCTTGAACTCACCCCTGCTTCTGCCTCCCAAGTGCTGGAATTAAAGGCGTGCGTCACCACTGCCCAGCTTGATGACAGCATTCTTGTAGGACCTGGTCCCCGTTTTTCCTCCCCTGCCATCTAATCTGTACCAGTCACCCTGACAGTCTTCTCTGGCCCTTACACACAAGGCCTTAGCCCTGGAAGCTGCTTCCATCTGGAAGGTTCTTCCCCAGACTGTCCTGTTGGTTCATTTTCAGGTCTCAGCAGAAACAGGACTTTCTAGGGCCCCACTAATCAACCTAAGGTTTCTCACATCCCAGCTTCCTTAGTGCACCTTGCCATCTCCTCTGAATGCTGACTCTGTGCCCATCTGCGTATGTGCCCAGCTTCAATGCCTGTCTATATCACAGACTGGGAAGTTCATGAAGATGGGGCGAGGTCAGTTTTGTTCACTGCCACAGGCAATCTGAAGCTCAGCAGTGATTAGGGTTAACTACCTTGTGAACAAATGGTCGAGATCAGCCCTCGTTGTGCACTGGCATGGCTAGTCTCTTGCGGGTTGCGCTACACCCATCTGAGCTGCTAGCCCATCCCAACCACCTTCCCTCTGTGATTCCTGTGCATGGTGACACATGCTTAATCCAGCTTCAATGGGACTTGTTCACTCACTGTTTTTATCAGAAAGGAAATTCCTCAGGTTGCATCCCCGGGGTCACATTGAGCACTGCCTAGGTGCTTGGGAAATCCTTCGTGAACCTTTTGATCTTAGCACTGACTCCAGAAGGTCCTATAGCATCACACATTCGTGACAGTACAACACATGACTAGTAACCAGGTTAACATCAGGATAGCACATGCTCAGAAACAGGACTTTTGGGTAGGAATAATGACAATGAAAGGGTTCAAACCAACAGGGATGCAGGAAGCAAGCAGGGTGAGGAAGGCAGGCATAGAGGACACCCAGGGAAGGGGTGAACTAAGAACCACTGTGGAAGCAAGGGAAGAACAGGAGGCCTCCTGAGTACTTCCAAATCCTGAGACCAGATTAATGAGACTGCATATTAATGCAGTCTGCAGTCTGGGCAGGTCACCGGAACACTCTGAGCCTGTTTCCTCTTCTGTCACGAGGGCATACTAACACCTGATTTCCAGCACAGTACCAGAGTCTCAGTGGCTGTGGGCCTGCATCCCATGAGCAACCTGCATCCCATGAGCAACCTGCATCCCATGAGCAGCCTCCCGTGAGCAGCCTGTGTCCCATGAGCAGCCTGAGTCCCATGAGCAGCCTGTGTCCCATGAGCAGCCGTACTCCATGGCTCATCACACCTCTGGGGATACAGTCTATGCTGCCATGTTTTTCGTTTGTTCAGTTGTCTTGTTTTGCTTTATTCTTGCAGAAATGTACAAAATCCAGATGTTTCCAATTCTTGAAATGTTAGAAACAACTATTGTTTGCCACTGGGCACTGGGCACTGATTAGATTCACAGACAGTAGGCAGACAGTAGACAAACAGTAGGCAGACAGTAGGCAGACAGTAGACAGACAGTAGGCAGACA